AGAACAGTAAAGGCAGTAACCAAAGGAAAATGTGGCTTAACAGATAATGAACTACGGATATCTTGACCATAAAATTCGAGGATTATTAACATTTGGCTTGACAGATAGTGAACATTGAAACTATCCATAAATGTAGACATTCTGGTGTTTATAAAATGATCATTTAGATCCAGTCTCCTTATATGAACATATTGACACTGAGACATAGATAAGTAATACATAAATTCTAGATCCAGTCTCCATATATAAACATATTGACACTGAGACATAGATAAGTAATACATAAATTCTGTTGACATGATTGAAAACCCTGTCTTAAATGCTGCACAAGCCGCATACCCAACAAACTCTTTCATTTCCTATTTTTCCCCCCTAGTCTCACAGTTTTTGTGTTGTGGTGTTAAACTGTTCCTATTGAATTGACTCTATATGACTGTGGTTGTTTATTCACTGATTGCTGCATTTTGCATACCTTGTTCTGGTCATGTAGACATCCATTTCCTTATTGAAATCCATGAAGTCATACCCTGAGTCAAATCTCGTATTTCGGCTAAAATATAAATTTGTGTCCAAAATATTGGTCATGACACTAGCAAAACTGGATGCAGATGTTAGCTCACTTGATTTTTGCTTTCAGCCAACCCTGCATTTGGATTCCTTGAATACTTGGTGTGACATTGAGTGCATCATTTATTCTGGCTTAATACTCTAGTATAAAATAACATTTAACATTCACTTGGTTTGAAGTGCATTTCGAGAGAAGATTGCCAATCTATGCACTTCCTTATTGGACTGATGGTTTAAACCAGTTGTTGTTGTCAACATTTTTTTTTTTTCATGGACCACTTTACTCTTCATTTTTCTTTTGGTGCACCCCCTATAACCATTCGATTTTTAAAGAAAAAAAAAAGCTTATTTTTTACTAATCAATAAGTTTAGGGAGAGTATTATAAAAATAGTAACTGTATATACTTTATTTTGAAGTAAATCTAATTTAATGAAAATAAAGTTATATTTAATAACTAAATTCTATAGAACATTTTTGTACACTAGTAAAATAACTCATAATAAACGATTTTAAAATATGCAAGTAATTAAGAAAATTTTAAAAAAGGCAGATTTATTCAATGAAATCCCTATGTACTGCTCTGCAAGTTTTTTTTATATTCGGCTCCATCGACGTCAGTGATAGTCAAAGATCACCCCCTTTTCACAATGTTGAGTCTATTACTATATTAATTAATTTATATTAATATTTTATTTTATTTCATTAATATTTAAAATTAATATTATTTATTATTAAATTAATATCTACAATAAATTTATAATCTTTATATAATTTTCCTTTACATATATAATCCTTACTTTATATATTCTTCTCAGTTTTTATTCAACTTTTACAATCAAAACAACCGTTAGAGTAAAGGGATGCTAACTTATTTTGCTTGATCTCATTTTCTGCAAAACTCATTTTATGCTAGACCCCCTACCCATAACTAGTCAATGAAAAAAAAACAAAAAAAAACAACTTTTTACTAATCAATAAGTTTAGGAATAGTATTATAGAAATAGTAAATGTATATGCTTTATTTTAAAGTAAAACTAATTTAATGAAAATAAACTTATATTTAATAATTAAATTCTATAAAACGTTTATGTATACTAGTAAAATAACTGATAATAAACCATTTTAAAATATTTGAGTAATTAATAAATTTTAAAAAGTGCAGATTTATTCAATGGCCCTGTGGTTGATGCTGCTGAAGAGGTTAACTGTTAATCTTACCTTTATATATAATCTTTATATAATTTATATATTAATTTTATTTTTTGAATATTTTATATTAATTTATATTAATATTATTATTTATTATTAATTTATTAAATTAATTTTTCTAATAAATTATAATATTTTATATAATTTCCTTTTATATAGATAATCATTCCTTTTATATATGCTTTTCAGTTTTTATTCAACACTTGCAGTCAAAAATTCCAGTTGGCTAAAAAGGATGCTAACTTACATCACCAGATCTCATTTTCTGCTAGTTTTAAAGTTGTTCTTCTATTTTTAGTATTTTAATATGGTGTAGTCTACCTTAGAAATTCCAATTCTCAGTTGTAACAACAGTTCCAAAGTGAAATAGCTCTAAGAACCACTAAAATTTTTTTTTTTTTTTTTTTTTTTTGCCTTTAATCAGCATGGCTGATGCTAACCTCCTTGCACCTTCTTGGGCTAATATTTTTTTCACTGAAGTGGAAAGATAACGAATCATTTGCTAGGTCTACTGCTAGGAAAATTGGTTGACTGCGTCGCTCACAGCAGTTTTTCTTCGCAGAATCTCTCTTACATATTTATAAGTCTACCATTAACCCATGCATTGAATATTGCTGCCAAATATGGTCTGGTGCTCCTGCTCTCTATTTAGAGAATCTTGATAAAATCCAAAGAAACTGCAATGTTATTGGTCCTGACCTGGCATCTTGGCTTCAGTCACTTTCCCATTGCCGTAACTTCCCTATGCCTTTTCTATAAATATTTTCATGGTAATTTTTCCAATCAACTTTCCTCTATGATACCTAGACTTTATGAATTTAAGTGCCATACTAGATTGATGGCAAAGTCTTATCATTTTGCTGTTGAAATGGCTACATATAACTGTAAGTTCTATTGTAGCACTGGGGCCTCAGGGATTTAATCAGAAAGAAAGAAAGAGGAAAGTGACTACCAATTGGATGATAATTCTCAGAAAAGTGGATTGAATTTTTAAAGAAAATTAAAAACAAAATGTGTTAAAAATTGTGTCTTAAAATAATAAAATGAAATCAAGAACAATTCCAAGGAAAACCAAACTCAAATTTAACTCGACAGAATTCAGTAAGATTGAACAAAACTAAGACCACCAATCCTTCTCCACTTCCTCTAATTAATGTATCATCACAGAAGTCGGTCCTGGAAAAATGGAAAAACGTTGTTTCCAATACCTTATCAGTAAAGAAAACTGGTGGTCCTGAAACATTTAAATTGGACAAAGATCCAGGAAAACATCTGGTTTATATAGAGGGATTGTGTTGATCATCCAGAAAAAATATCCCTACAAAAATAAAGATTAGCACCTAAGATTGGGAACAGTCATTTATTTTAATTTTTGTGACATTCGTCAAAGAATTTTTGTAGATGACCAAGAAACACATAAACAGAGATTATTTTTTTTCTTTATTATTAATATTACTAAAGATATTGGGAATATTTTTCTTTTCTTTCCCACCCATGATGACTGGAAGAAATCAACTCTTGTGATTGGCTAGCAGGGGACATCTGGATTGGCTCCAATTATCTAAGAATATGGTGAAGTCCCTAGCTTGGAAAATCACCTAAAACCGTGAGACAAGCTGATAAAGAAAGATTAATTACTGGAAACCCCCTTTTTGCCTACATCACAAAGACAGAAAATGAAAATGGGCTGAGGTTGGATGCTGAGAAGTTGGGGAAAGGAGGAGAGAAACCAGCACTAACTATATGGAGTGATGGTGTGAGATGAAAATTGAAGGGAGTTGGAGTTAAAGGGTGGCTTGATTCCTCTGACCACTCTCAAAAGGGGGCTGGACAACTTCTAAATTTGGAAAATTACTCTAGTAGGCATATTGTGAACATATGAGATTTTAGAAAAAGGTTGATGCTAAGGGTGGGAGATAACCAAACCCCAAACCCTGTTCAACCCCACACTTGCTAGACACAGGACTTTATATAAGCTGGAAGTTTGGGAAACTTAGAGAATCTCCATACTACTGCTACTGGAATCCACATTATTTGCCAAAATCTGATGACCAGAACTTAGAAATTTAAATTACTACTAACACAGGCTGTAAACTCCAAAGGGAGATCCCAGTGTCATTTGATTATAACAGTAGTGGGAAGATTTAAAACTGTTGTATCATATATAAACCAAGTTGTTGTTATAGTCTTAAACCAAGTTAATTCTTTATTCCAAAGAATACTTTTTTGTGTAACTCTTAGCCGTCAACCTGTTCTTCACTCTGAGATTGAAAACACAACTTGGCAGAGGAGTGAATAATTGTGAGAGAGACGAACACCAGCAAGATCGGGTGGAACCATGCTCATCATGATACCAGTGACAAACCAGCAACACATTAATGAGTGAGAAGTCAGCTAGATGGTAACCACAGTGGTCTGAAGAAACCTGAAGACCAATGTGGGACTGAGAGGGTTACACTATGCTAACATTTTTTATCTTGTACATCTTACTTTTGGAACTTTTTACTGGCTTCTTGCTTTCCAGTCAATTTTAATCTTCAAAAATTTAAATGCAATTTTAATTGCTATTTTCTGCTTTCTTAATTCCTGTTCTTTTTTTGGGCTCTCTGCTGATGTTTTTTCTAATATTCTCTCACACTCAGTTACCCCTTGCATCTTCGTGGCTTTATTGCCTTAAGATGAAATGAATTAAAAAAATATTTTTTGGTCCATCTTTTAATCAGGAATTCACTTGCATGGCCTGTGAAGGTAGGTAACTAGGTGACACTTGGAACAACTATCATGACGGACTACGGATCATCTCTACCCTTCATCTTTCAACATTGAAATTAAGACTAGTTGAATTGACTAGTTGAAGATTAATACTAGACAGTAGTTTTTAAAGACATGGGTGTCTGATTTGTCAATATCTACATGGGAATGAGGAATTTATAAGAGAAATAAAAAAAAAAAAAAAAAAAATTTCAAATTTTAAAAGATCAGATTCATACTGTCAATCAAATTATGCCCTAAGGAGCCCCTAAGTGTCATGTGACAGCTCTTTGAGACTATGGTCAATTGCTTTTTTCTTTTCCACTTGCAAGAATGTAAACCTGAGAATTTTTGGAAAGGAAAGAAAAGTTCTTATTGGGGGGCATTACAAGTAAGATTTTCCTTTTTATTCATCCTCTTCTCATGCTAAATGCTAACTAATTCTTTTAATTATGTAATTTTTGCTTTTCAGGTTTATCGTCATGGAGACAGAACCCCTTCCGCTGAATTTCCCACAGATCCCACACCTGGAATTTGGCCACAAGGTTTTGGAGAGCTCACCAATGTAAGATGATTATTATTATAACACCAGCACCACAGAATTTAGCTCATCCTAATGTAGAGAAAACATTCCATGACTTTTTAACATTGGAGAGCTATTTACCTGAACCAATGTATTTTAAATATGCATCTGTCGCGACCAATTACGGCTAACAGAAAAGTGAGCACAAGAGATTAGGATTTATAAAACATTTTGGGTCTTGATCCTTGACACCACTTAAGTACCTTCATACTTCAGCAATGTTTGTTTTAAAAAGAGATGATTAGAATTTTAATAAAACCTAAATATAGAATAAAAGTGAATTTATACAGTTTTTTTTTTTTGTTTTTGAGAATTGATAATAAAAATAATAAAAACTATTTATTAGATTATTTATTTACACTATTATATTTTTTATTGGAATGGTTGATGTAATATAGCAACAACTCTAAGTAGAATTGACTAATTCAGCTTTAGCGCTGAAAACATTTATTTTATTATAATGGATAGTTACAAGTGAAAGGGGAGATGGGATGTGCTTACGATATTGAGTCACCCTCCTCCCCCCCCATGAGGGTGTCATGTGGCACAAGGCCTTTTTAACATGGGCATTCCGAGTCCGTCAAAAATATGCCCATTGAACCCGTATAAACAGGTTCAGGGCCGGTTTACCTCCCCGAAGGAGACTCCACCCTTCGGCGTAGCCTCCTTCGGGATCCTCCCGTCCGTAGGAAGAGAGTTCAACCGATCAGTCGGTTCAGAAGTGAACGACTGACTCAATGTGCTTACATTATCACCACAGTTGGTAAAACATTGGCTAATTGACAAAGTAAACATATAAAACATGATGACGGAATTTAATAAAGGCATTTTTAACTTTTATAATCTAAGACTTATTTTATCTTTTTCTAGCTTGGCAAAATGCAACAATATGAACTCGGAAAATTCTTGAAGAAAAGATATCTTAATGGTTTCATGAACAGTTCTTATAATGACGACGAGGTAAGTTTGTTTTTTTGGGGTTTTTTTTTTTTTGCTGATTAAAGAAAATGAATGGCATAACATCTCCCAAGTATATTGCAACATTCAGGACTGGAATTGACACTGCAATTGTGTCAGTCTCTAGCTGCCCTGGCACGCAACTATTGGATCAGAACAAATTGAAACAGATCAAGAATTTTTATACATTTTATGCTTTATTGTTCCCAACTATTTTTCTATTGCAGATTTTCTTAGTAATATTTTATATTTCAAAATAGTTTTGTAAATGCAAGATAAGTCAAAAATAAAGCATGATTTCTGTTTCACCAACTCTCAGCAGTTTGCTGTTTCTATTCCAGTTATAGGTCTACAGAAGGCGCTTATCTCCCTTTGGTGGTGTTAAGTCACATGGGTCACATGACAGCCACTTAGTGACGTCACCCCATCACAAAAATGTCTATTCTATAGAAGAAAGATGAAAGTGGCAGTCAAAAGTCTACAGCAGGCAAACCAAAAGGTTGCTTTCTTTAGCCCTCCCCTACTCCCCAAAGGCCTGGGCAGAGGCTAAATCTGCTTCCCCCAACAGCTTACAAACACATAGCACTGTTTCCTTTTCGCAGGGAATCACTGTATTTGTATTTTTTATTTTATTTTATGTTAAAATAAACTGTCTCCCTCCCCACTGCCATACCTCTTTTTCTTTACTTTTCTTTTTACTTTTATGGTTTTGATTTAAAAAATTTATTGATTTAAAATTTCATCTTCGTTGTAGATCACTGTCAGAAGTACTGATAAAAGTCGAACACTGATGAGCGCTTACACTAATTTAGCAGGTCTCTACCCTCCGAAGGATCATGAAAAATGGAATCCCAATCTTGATTGGCAACCAATTCCAGTTCATACTATTCCGAAAGATGAAGATCAGGTAAATAATAATAATAAAATGGCACCAAAGCTCTTTCCAGTATTGACACAGGGTTTCCTTCCGAACCTTTTATTTGACGTAGTGTAGAATTTCAACATCTTGTTTATGTCATTATTTTCTTTTCCATATAATAAATGTAAATATCAGTGTGTCACAACTTTTCAACTTTACTCCTAGAGGTCATACCCCAATATATCATATCATTTTGGAATCAGGTTGACACCATGAGCAAATTAAAAATATTCTAGGTTGGATCCAGACCTGAAATCCTGAAATTTTGGATTTCTAAGTTTTCATTACTGCAATTGTTTTGGGGATTTTTTTTTTTTTTTTTTTTTTGATTTTTTTTTTTTTTATTTATTTATTTTTTTTTTTTCGTTTTATTTAGATTTTTTTGCAACAAACTTTTTTTTTTTTTTTGTATGATAGCAATTTTTATAACTTGGAAGTAAATTTGGGAATAACTGAAATTAAGTGCAAAATCCAGCAAAAGTCGTCCATGAAATAAAAATAATTGTTTGTATAGAAAGTAAGGACCTACATACATCAAACAGTCTTTAAATTAAGTGGCAGCAGAAGAATTATAATTGAACTTTCAAAATGTAAGCTTAAATATTAATACAGTACTTGAATGCAGTGGTCAATTATGAGTTCTTCTGTAGTTTATTATTGCCTATCTCGTCTACTCATCTCTAGCTATTGTGATGAAGGAGCTAGCTTTCCATTTAGATTTTTCTATTCCTTTTGTTTGTGACTTTGTGTAAAAAATGTTGTCTATAGAAAAAAATTCTGACTTCTTTCTTATAATAATTGAAGAGTAGAACACTGAACTTTGGCTTAGTCTATAATAAGAATACTTTGCAGAGAAATAATGTGTCTGTCAATTCAGGTTGAAATCTTTGGAATGATAGCTTATCACATTTACAACAGAAATTTGGCAAACTTGGACCTTTGTGCCCACAAAAAAATGACAGTTTCTCCTTTGACACTACTATTATTTTAACTACCTTCACTCTTCAGCAATGTTTATTGTTTTAAAAAGTGATGATTAGAATTTGAATAAAACCTAAACATAAAAGTGAATTTATACCTTTGCTTTGTTCTTGAGAATTGATAACAAAATAATAGATTATTTATTTACATTATTTATTACATTGTTTATTGGAATAGTTGGCAAAACATTGACTAAATGCCAATTATTTCGAACTATTGATAAATGATAGATATTACATTAGTTATAATTGTATTTAGAATGCTGTAAATATAAACTTATTGTAAATAATCTAATAAATAAATACTGGGTGTGATGAGTAAATTGTCATCATTTTATATTTTTATTTTCATGTATGTGCATTGTTTTTAATTTTGTCAACTGCACAGTATAGTAGGGTCAGTTGGGCACCATCTGTGAGAAAAAGGAGCACTATATTGCAATTCACTTGGAAATAGCATGCTGTACTGCTTGGCATTCATGCCAGAAGCTCCAATATGCATATTTCAGAGTGTTTGGGTATCAATCTGAAAGCAGTGCGGAGGATTCAGAAAGAGTTGGGTGAGTCTAATGGTGATCAGGAAGGATTTTGAAATGATCACTAGTGATGGCGACATTAGGCCTCCATTCATCTTTCCACAGGGCCTCAGATTCAACACAGAGGCCTACATCAAGTGACTTGGGGAGTTAGTGCTAACCTGGGTCAAGCGTGTGGCTGCTAAAAGACCCTATGTCTAGTAAAAGGACTCTGCATCATGCCACACAAGCAGAACTCGGTCATGGCTGTCAAACAATTTCTGTGACCACATTACTCCTTACATCAACCCTTATATCTGGCCACCTAACTCCCCAGACTGCAATGCCTTTCATTGTTATGTGTGGGACACAGTTGAGTGAGAGACAACAAAACACCAAAGATGACCTGAAGGCAAGTTTTATGGCAGCATTCACCAACTTAAACAAGGGGACCATCCAAGAGAGTTGCAGTAGATTCTGAAGTTGTCTGCAGAACTTGGTTGAAGACGATGGTAATTTTATTGAATAAATTTACTCTTTAGTATTTCAAGATATTTTTGTCTTATTTCAGTAAATATATCTTAAAATGAAATGTCCGTGTTAATTTAATTTTTGCATAATTTATACAATTTATCCATCATGCCCTGTAAATAAATAGTGTTTAATATGTTTGTTGCAAATTCTTAAGGTATAAATTCACTTTAATCATATGTTTAGGTTTTATCCCAATTCTAATTGTTGCTTTTTAAAACAATAAACACTGGCATGGAGTGAAGGTAGTTAAAATAATAGCAGTGTCAAGGGAAAAACCATCCTTTTGACACTGTTTTTGTTTTCTTTTTGCAGGCATGAAGGTCCAAGTTTGCCAGAAATTTAAAGTAACATATTAGTAGTCAACTTGAGTGGAAAATATTTTCAGCTACTGTTTATTCTGAAATGCCAAAACCCAAACTTTGTCATTACATATTTGAATTATTAATATAACAAAAAGTTTTTTTTTTTTTTTATTTTTTATGAATGGTTTGATGCATTTTCATGATAGCATATATATGGATGGATGCAGCAAATGCAACAGGCAGTTATAGAAACTCATTGAAAGTGATTTTACGAGGAGAAAAATGTAAAATTATATATATATATATATATATAAAATTTTATTTCTGGATGTCCGTTTCATCCTATATTTGTACAGTTGGTATGACATTTGCCTGATAATATAACTATCCAGGTTTCAATTCTCGGTAGTGGATGCGCACTACTGATCAGTCCCAAATACATGATGAAACGGCTGTCCTGTGCTTTCTGTATTCTGTTGAGGTTTCTTCTAGACTCGATGAATTAATTATTAATTATCTCAAATCCTCCTCCTAATTTCTATCACTTATATACACACACACACTAATTATAGGATTGGTGTATACAGAATAAATTCCAATAACCAAAAAATACTTTTCTTAAAAGAATGCTCAATTTCTACATTCAACACCATCACTTGATACGACAACAGAAGTGTTGAAATGAAATGGCTATTTTCGTAGTGATTTTTTTTTAACAAATTTGTTATAATTTTTGAATAAGTTTTTTACATATATATATATATATATATATATATATATATATATATATATATATATATATATGGTTTTCCTTCATTACCACATTAAATATTTTAGCTATAATTTAAAATTTACTTTCACTGGTTTCAGAACTTTATCTCCTGTGCCTTGAAAAATTATGAGAAAAGGATCAGCAATGGTCAGGAATTAATGCATGCATTATTGGCAGAATATACTTATGTGTATTTGGAATGATTTTGACAGTGTGTTGTTTGAACAATTGATTGCACACCGTGTTATTTGAACAATTGATTGTGCGTCATGTGCAGTGGGAGCACATGTTTGAGTCATGTAATAGGAATGATTTTATTGAGAAATTAAAAGACAAAATGAAAAAAACTCTTTTGTAACATACTTTGTCCTTCAAATGGATGTCTTCAGGCTAATGTTTTTATTCAGATTTATGTAAGGAAACGGAATGAATATATCAACAAACATTGGTTATAATTAAGGAATCTCTGCATCTTTACCATTGACACTTAATTATAACCAGCATTTCTTTATATTTTCATTCCCTCTCCTCACATATATAGGATTCCGTCAAAACATTTACTCTGAAAAGGTCCTTTTGAAGGACAAAGCACATTATGCAAGATTTTTTTTTTGCCATTTAATTTACCACCTTTTAATCTGAATGACTTGATTATAAAAATGGATTTAAAATCAAGGAGCTTGTCCCAGTTATATCAAACTACATCTGGCAGCAAGGCCTCTGCTTGGGAGGTTTTGGGAAGCATGAAACCATCTCTTAGTTGATGCTGTTCCCAGGTCCAACCTGACCCAGGGTGGTAATGCCTCTTAGGGCCCCAGCTATAGGTAAATGGATAACCCCCAAATTTTGGTCAAAACACTATGAAAGTATAAAAATACCAGCAATACATTTTTTTTTTTTTTTTAGGGGGGGGGGGGTTAAAATATTACCAACAATACTTTTTTGTCATACATGAAGAAAATGACTAACTACCGACACCGAGGTTCAAGCATGACACTCTGGACTTATGAATATGTTTTCTGCCAAGTGTATAAATAGCGGTGTCAGGCTACTGACTGGGGTGATTATTGAGTATCTATCGAGTGGAACTATCCAGTCGAATTAGTGTGAATTATTGTGAGTTGATGATTTGGGTTTTGATTTAGGATTTACCGGACGTTAAACTGATCCTCGCTACTAACATGGTATTCACTGAAATGGTTAATTATCTTTGGCTGACTTTTACTTCTTTGTTCTTGTTATGCGTTTATTTGTGGTTGTAATTAAATATTGTTTTATCTTAACATTGAAGTTATAATTGATCATTAATGGCTACTGTACATCACAAAAATCTTTGTAAAAGAAATTACTAATGCTTCCAAGAAAATTAAATTTTGGAATTAAATGAACCATAAGGAGTTGATATGCCACTAAACAAACAAAACAACAAAATCAGGAAGAAATGTGTTAGGGATGGAGAATAAAAAAAGCATTGCTCATGGAATAAATGTTTAATCATGATATCATTTGCTCTTTTTTTCTTTTTTTTTGCACAAAAATAATGCTAATATTCTACTGGTAAGAATAAAAACTTTGGAACTTTTTGAATTTCTCTCTTTTTTTTTTTTTTTTTTTTTGTTATCTATGTTGATTTGATCTTTGGAGACTTTCAACAATTTCTCTTTGTAAATCCTTTATTCCCATCCTGCTGTTCCTCTATTTAGACAATTTCATTAGCTGTCTTTTATTCTACTGCTATTAAACACTAGCATTCCTCAGCATACCATTCAACAGTTACCAAACCCCATACAAGTTTTTCCTTCTTGCTGTACTTATGAGAGATTGGTGAAAATTTCTCAATCTTAACAAGAAGAAATTCAAAATTCTAATGTTTGATTATTTGGTCAGATTTTAAGAAGTGTGCCAGGACAAGAACCATTATCTACTGCTCTTGTAACTTCTGATAATTAAATCATTATTTATTCTAACCTACATTTTTTGTAGTCATTTGTGATTTGACATTAAATTTTTCTTTTTGACTAAGTTTAAGATCAGTCCAACTTGTTACATTGTCCCATTAATGCCAATTGTAAAATTGAATATTATAGGTTTATATAAAAAAAAAATCCACTATTATTGGTTTTATATATATTACATGAATCATTCATACAAAAAACAGATTAGTGAAGTTAATGATATAAATGGTGAGAATACATCTTTGCAAACAAATTTATTAAAATTACATTAACCCATGAACCTCTAGATGAATGTTGTGATCCCTGTTTTTAATAAATTCAACTTGTATAAGGTCTTTTTTTGCAAGTACTTTCATCTGTTCATACAGACTTCATCAGGCATAGAAATTTGATTTTTTTTTTGATTTTTTTTTTTTTAAATACATCCAGGTAATAATGGGACATGAAAGATTAGATGTGAATCGAAATATGTTTTTTAGAAATGTGTTATTGCTAACCATAAGAAATTCTGGAGTGTGCAGTCGCAACGCTAAGGTTGAAGTTTTTGAAAATTTAAAAGAGAGTGTGTTTTTTACTAATTTGGTAATTGGAGAATTCTTTTGTTGTAGTAGTTTTTTCAGTCTATGTGGCATGAACTAAATTGTTCAATAAATAGAGCAATGTCGCAGCTCTTATTCCAGAAGTTGCATGTTGGATGAGTTCTTTTTAAATTAAATATTTGGTGCAGTTCAATTTATATTACATGAATCATTCATACAAAAAATAGATTAGTGAAGTTATATATATATATATATATATATATATATATATATATATATATATATATATATATATTGAATGGTAGCTTTTCTAACCTGGGTTTTGATCTTATGCTCTCATCAGGTGGCTTACTGGATGTTTTTGTGCACACCATCTATCTTATTTATATCGGGAGTAGGCAGGAGAAAAGGGGGGGGGAATGAAATTGTATTAATTGCCTTTATCCAGGTTCATATAGACCCATAATGTATTTTCTTATGTGTCTACTTTTTGACATAATTCCTGTCCTTGAATTCAACAATTCAGAACAGTCATGGTATGTGGCTATCTTTAGCTTTTCTTCTTGGCATAGTTTGCAACAATTCCTATGCATTCTGCTTTGTTTGATTTTTTTTTTTTTTTTTTTTTTTAAGGATCTTTCACTTGATTTGGGGCTTCTTCTATACTTCAAATGCCAAACCCAATCAGCCAACCTAGTGATGTGTCTATAGCTTTGTAGTCTAAATGAAGTAGTATGATTATTCCACTGTTCTTTGAAATAGCCCTCTGTATAACCAATGTATATCTTTTTCACTTGCATCTTTCACTTCTGCCTGATATACAATGCTTTCCATCCAACATGCGCCATCCATATATATATATATATATATAATCTAAACTCTACATCCAAAACAATAAAAAACATAGTCAATACTAAACAAAATATAAACTACAACCGTAAGCAGGAATTTCCTCCATCATATGTAATAGTTGTTACAAAAAATACATAGGACAAACTGCAAAAAATTTAAATGAGATTTTTTTTTTTTTTTTTATCCCGTAACCCATAGGGTCACCATGTGTACTGTAGTCACAGTAGAAGTGGTGTTAGAAAAATTCTAAAATCCTCAGTGACCCTTGTTCGTGCACATGTGTAGTCATACCAACATAGCAAAAATAGTCCAATGAAGTCCTGAGGACAAAACACGTCACAAGAAAACTTTTTCTACTTTGTCATACAATTTCCTCAATATTGTTCTTGATATATAAAAATATATATCATTCTCTCTCTCTCAGATACATAAATAAAACAAACACACACACACATATAATAGGTATTAATTAATTAGTGTGACAATGAAGAGAAAGTCCTTACAAAGAGAAATTGTGGAAAGATAATGTTTGAAGTCCAAATCAACAAATAACACGAAAAGCCAGAAATTCATACAAAAGCTTAACCACTTTATACAGTACTAGATAATTGTCTTTTTTTTTTTTCTTTTTTTTTTTCTTTTTTTTTGTGAAAGGGTTTTGTTTACTCTGGATTTGAGTCAGTCATGCAAAAAGTCTTAGTGGCTTCAAAGTTACATTTTTTTTTCTTTTTCTTTTAACAAGACCAATCAATAAAGAGTTGGTACTTGTATCACAATGGATCTCCCTGACCCACCATTCATGCAACAATAACTTATTCTCTTAATATCTTAGTATCTTCTTAAATTTTGGGGGACTGCTTTTATTCTTTTTTTTCTTTTTTTTTTTTTGTTTGCTGTTTTTTTGGTTTGTTTGTTTTTTGTTTTTTATAATATTTTTTGTTTGCTGTGTTTTTTTTGTTTTTTTTTAATATTTTTTGTTTGCTGGTTTTTTTTTTTAATATTTTTTGTTTGCTGGGTTTTTTTTTTTTTTTTAAATATTTTTTGTTTGCTTTGTTTTTTATTTAGTAATTTGTTGTTTTTTTTTTTGTTACTTTTTTAATATTTTTGTTATTTTTAAAGATTCTAAAATACAATTGTCCCCCTCCTCCCACCTTATATTGACATTATAATTTCTTGTTTGTTTATCAAGTTCTGCTTAGGTATGAATCTACCTCTTTTTACCCTCCCCCAGCTATGGGTTAATTAGTAAGATATGTATCACTAAACTATTATCTCCAATAAAAAAAAAATATTCTTATAATCTAAAAAAAAATATTTATCAATAATCAGCAAAAGTTTGATAAGGTGTTAGAAAACAAATCCATCAAAAACAATCAAATCAGCAAAATATCTTTTGGAAATGTTAGTGATTTGGCTACAAAGACTTTATCAGCTAGTAACATTCAAATAATTGATATTCATTAATTCTTCAAACACTACTCTGCTTCCATTTCAAACCATTTACTCAATGTTTATAAAATAAGGACCTAAGACTTGTGGGGAATGGGGAGTATGGCTTAAAAATAAACATAACAAAAACATAAGGAGTGTATATATTTTATAAAAATTCTTTTGTACTTTGGTAAATTTGTCTGACATTTACCAATGATTGTTTATCATTTTGGTGATCTGTTTTGGAATGATTAAATATATATATGTCCCATCTACTGCATTTATTTTCATATATTTTACTATTACAGCTGTTGTACATGACATCCAAGTGTCCCAGATATATGCAAATTTATAATGAGTTTATCAATTCTGAATATTACCAAGGCTTTTTAGAGGACAAGCGTGTAAGTAGTTTATTATTATTATTATTCTCAAACTTTCATGTTAAAAGTATCAAATGTTATTGGATTAAATCACCAGATCATGTCTTTATATTTAATTCTCACAATTTTTATTTATTTTTACATTGATAAACATTATGTTTGTAGTAATTGCAATATTTTGAAGCATGATTCCAGATAATTCCTTAAGCATACAACAGTTCCCCCCCTTTCAGTCTGATTTTTTTCTATATTTTTTTCCTTCCTACCTCTGTCTTTTATTTCTGTCTCTTGCTCTCTTTTTATTTTATTTTTCTCTATGACTCTCTTATTTCTCTCTCTCATTACTTCTATTGTTTTTTTTTTTTTATTTCTGTTATTTGTCTATTTCTTTCTTTGTCTGCCCGCGTCTCTTGCATATCGTTTCTTTCTGTCTGCCCACATATCTTGCCTATCGTTTCTTTCTGTCTGTCTGCGTCTCTTGACTATCGTTTCTTTCTGTCTGTCTGCGTCTCTTGACTATCGTTTCTTTCTGTCTGTCTATGTCTCTTTGCCTATCGTTTCTTTCTGTCTGCCCGCCAGCCTCTTGCCTATCATTTCTTTCTGTCTGCACACATATCTTGCCTATCGTTTCTTTCTGTCTGCCCGCGTCTCTTGCCTATCGTTTCTTTCTGTCTGCCCGCGTCTCTTGCCTATCGTTTCTTTCTGTCTGCCCGCTGCCTCTTTTTTGCCTATCGTTTCTTTTCTGTCTGCCCGCTGTCTCTTGCCTATCGTTTTTTCTGTCTGCCGCGTCTCTTGCCTATCGTTTCTTTCTGTCTGTCCGCGTCTCTTGCCTATCGTTTCTTTCTGTCTGCCCGCGTCTCTTGCCTATCGTTTCTTTCTGTCTGCCCGCGTCTCTTGCCTATCGTTTCTTTCTGTCTGCCCGCGTCTCTTGCCTATCGCTTCTTTCTGTCTGCCCGCGTCTCTTGCCTATCGCTTCTTTCTGTCTGCCCGCGTCTCTTGCCTATCGCTTCTTTCTGTCTGCCCGCGTCTCTTGCCTATCGCTTCTTTCTGTCTCTTGTCCTCTCTCAAAGACAAGAGTTTTCTTACTGAAGCAACCAATAACAATGAACTTCATATCATCGCATCTTAAACAGATGTCTGTATTTCTTTTTATTCTCTGATTATTGTTGTTCTTTTTAATGCTATAAAGTCTGTTTCCTAATCAGTGTCAATTTTGTAAATTCTTTGTGAATACATATACTTTACAATTTTTGAAATTTATAAAATCTTTCCCTTCAAATAATTTTTCAGGAAAATAGTTTTCTCAAGTCCTGCAGTTGTTATCACTCTTTCCAATATTGTCAACATCAACCATAGGCTTGAAGACCACACATCTTCAAACATTGTGGACCGTCTCTACAGAATCCCAAATACTGTAGAAAATAACTGAAACCACATCACTTGAAGACTTCAAACAGCAGCAACAATTAAAATGGATAGCACATATAACTCAGAGGAAATAATGACATAATCAAGATGTTGGCATTCCACACCACTTCAAATTAAAGGTTAGGAAGAAAACCTTCTATTGATAGAGGAAAGAGCTCTAACAACTCCTGGACTTGAGAAATGTATTTTCCTGAAAAATGATTGCAAGTGAATGATTTTATAAATTTCAATTGAAAGCAGTACTAGCAGCTTCATCAATGAATTCTGTCTGTTTCTTTATAAGGAAATTGCTAATATTAGCATATGTCTTGGTGCATGTTGACTTTTTCAGGTATGGATTGATTTTGTCAGTCAAAAAGCTGGAGTTGAAACTGAAATAGAAGCAATAACCTCCGTTTATGATAATCTCTTCTGTAAGGTAAGTTAGTGTGAATCAAATATTTTTTTTCTTACTAATTATCCAAGGCCATCTAGTCAGAAGCAATTAAGGGGGTCACTGGAGTCAGTCAGAAAAACTATACTGACTCTGACTCCAGTTGAATTTACACTTCATGTAAAAAGTCTTATAGAATTTTTATTTTTATTTCTTCAATTGTATATTTACTATTTCCTTTTGAAGAAATTCATCTCAATTTCTTTTTTAAAGTCACTTTATTTTTTGTCAATATTTTGTATTTGCAAAACTATATATGTAAAAAAAAATCTTATAGAAATTTTATTTTTGTTATGTCTTGTAAATCCTGTAAAAGATTATTTTCAACTTCTGTTATAAAGGAGTTTTTCTGTACTTATTTCTTATTTGCAAAGATATATATATATATATATATATATATATATATATGTAAAAAAAATCTTACATTATAACATATCTATTTTTTATTATTTCCTTTTTTTATCCTTTCAAAGGATTTTGTCTCTAATTCTGTTAGAAAATATTGAAGAATGAATAGATATCATAAAAGCCACAATATCTTTATTCTTTGATATAAACCATTTATAATGATATAGGCCTACTCAAGTTAGGAGCGAATGCATAGGTTTAATGAGATTTGTAGGTCATAATTACATAAAGAGGCGTCTGAGTCAGATGTGCCAAAAATAGAGGAGTCGGAGGTTTTGTTTTCTGACTCCACAGCCTGTAATCATCTCAATAATCAGAATAAAAATAAAAAAATAAAACACATCCATTTATAGTCTTTGCAAATCTATCTAGCAGGACAGACTGGGTTCTATAGCCTTGGTTGACCGCCATTCTAGAGGTGGTAACTTGACAAAAATACCTATGCCTCAGTAGCCTGGGACACTCATAGGGAACCTGTTCAAACCTATGGTTATATATATATATATATATATATATATATATATATATATATATATAAAGAAAGAACAGTAAGATATATAATCTGGTGTTCTTATAGATATTTTTATTTTTACAAAATAGTGCTCAATATACAGAGCATTAATATTATAAATTAATTGATTTAAAATATGTTTTTTTTTGCTAAACAGTTCTAACCATGTTTCAAAAATGGAAGCTAAAAGCTTCGAATTAAATTAAAGACATTAGTTCCATTTCGTCCTCAAGTGAATTTTGGAGTAACTTATTTTTAAAGGCACAGCAAAAATCATAATTCACGTTTCCAAGGATACAGAGAAATCTATTTAACCAGACAAGGGGTGTTTGGGTGTTCATTATCGCTGTATTTTGATGTATCAGTTATTAGTTACATTTTGGTAAACATTAGTTACATTTTTGAAACATGGTTAGAACTGTGTAGCGAAAAAAAACATTTTAAATCAATTAATTTATAATATATAAAAATGCCTCTTACCATGTAACCCTCTCAAATGGTTCTTGGGCCTTGTAAAGAGTTAACATTACTATTAAAAAAAAAAATAAAATAAAATAAACAACTATAAAGGTATGTGGTCAAACTCAAAAGGTTTTAAATTCTGAGATAATGATTAAAAAGCAAAGCCATTTGACCAAATCATCCTGTAATTGGAATTTGCAGTCTGTTAGTAACAGAAGAAAGCTGAAGATTTGGATTTTTGTGTCTTAGTAAAAGATGCAGAGAAAAATAGTTACAATATTTTCATTCACATGGAGGAAAGCCTTATAATTGATAACTGAATTATTTGATGAATTTATTAATAATTATTCTCTTTTCTCCTTACTCTTGATGGGCTATGTCACACAAAAAATATCTTTATCACAATTGTTTTATTTTTCTCATATTTCAATGGCAGTAAAAATGTTGGTATACTACTACTACTATTACTACTACTACTACTACTACTACTAACAACAACGCCAATAATAATAATATTAATAGGAGGACAAAATAATATGTGAAATTGGTCGTCCATGAAAATACCTATTTATGTTGAAGGTGACCGTGATTAGTATACACTTATTTTTGTTTTGATTTTTTTCCTTTTTTTTTTTCCTTCAGTTTTTGTGTTGGCTTTCTTTTAACTTTCGTGTTTTCTCTGTGTGTGTATATATATATGTGTGTATGTGTATTTATATGTGTGTATTTATTTATTTATATATATATATATATATATATATATATACACACACACACACACACACACACACACACACACACACACTTCTTCTATTGTACAGCTACTGTATTACTATTTCAGTTTAAAATACTTATCATTCTTCAAGATGTCCTAGAATGCAAACCAATTAATTAAAACATAGCAAAAAGCAAGATTTCTTTTCTTTATCTCGGTTTTTTTATCTTTTTTTTTATGTTTTATAAATTGTTTAATGAATATACAGAGATTAAAATTACATATTAACATCAAAATTGCCTGAAGTTTTGAAATGCAGCTTTTTCATAAATTTAACACTCCATATAATGTCACACATTTTTTCTTCATCTTTATTCTTCCTTTATCATCAATATACTTAAGAAAAATTTTTTTTTTTTATTTATTTTTTTTTTTTATACTTCTGATCCTCAGGTTTGAGAATGCAATATTATTCTTTTGCTTATGTTGTATTTTTCTACATTGTGAATGGATGGATGGTTGGCATCTAAACCAGCTCTCCCACTAGCTTTGCTGGTAGGGAGGGTGGCATATCACCCCACAGGACATAAAACAAGACCTGCCAACACACAACACACACACACACACACACACATATATGAGAGTGATAGATGGATATATATGAGGCAAGGATGGGGTCTCAAGTCTTGAATGGCAATCTTTCTAGAGTTAGTATCTCAATAAAAATGCTCAGTGTACTTGGACTACCGTAAGTGTTTGAGTTGGGTGTCAGGAAGAACACCCTGCCTTTTAAAATCTTGCCTCAAATCATTATGACAAATCCATTATCAGGCAAGACATACCTATTTCAAGATAAAAACACAGCGCATTTGACCAACAAACTTGTTGAAAGTGCAAGAGTATATGGAATGGAGGTCAGTAACAGTGTGTGTGTGTATGCATGTATATTTATGTATGTATATATATATATATATATATATATATATATATATATGTATCTGGCTATATTTCTGAGATGAGGTATTCTATACAGTATTTACATTAGTCGGACTATTGTCCTCATCTTTGTCGCCATATTTGTCACAACGTTTCGGCCTTCTTCAGGTGGTTGGAATTTCGAACTAAACCCTTTATTTCACTCACTGGGGTAGTTCCACGTGTCATGTTTGATGGATATCAGTTATCTCCTGCTAATTTTCCCTCTGAAGGCGGGTACAAGAGGAGGAGGAGGACAACAACACTCAGAAAACAGTCTGCCTGCCTTGTGTGAAGGGGTTATCAGAGAAAATACAAAGGATCTGCAGTCCATATAACATCAGGACAACCTTTAAAAGCATGACAACACTTCGCAGATATCTCTCTCGAAAGGAGACCTCCCCATATAGGAGAACATGACTAAAGACTGTGTACGCTTATCCGTGCAGCTGTGGAAAGGAATATAAAGGAGAGACAGGCCGTCCCCCACGGTAAGGCTTCAAGAACGCCAGAAAGCTGTAACACGAGGGGAAGTAGAAAAATCAGGCGTGGCTGACCACATATGGAGAGAGAAGGGAGATCACCGCCCCCTGTGGGATCATGTTGAGATCATAGACAGGGAACACCATTGGAAAGTTCGTAAACTTAAGGAATCAGCATTAGGTTTATAATACCCAGGACACATGGCACAGTGGATAAAGGCGTTGGTTAGATCCAATGAGTGAGAGTTCAATACCCGGTTAACTATATATGTATGTATATATGTATGTGTGTGTGTGTATACATGTGTATACATATGTGTATGTGTTGAGATCACAAACTTTCCAATGGTGTTCCCTGTCTATGATCTCAACATGTGTATGTATGTATGTATGTATTTACATATGTATGTATGTATGTATGTATTTATGTATGTATGTATGTATGTATGTATTTACATATGTATGTATGTATGTATGTATTTACATATGTATGTATGTATGTATGTATTTACATATGTATGTATGTATGTATTTATGTATGTATGTATGTATGTATGTATGTATTTATGTATGTATGTATGTATGTATTTACGTATGTATGTATGTATTTACGTATGTATGTATGTATGTATTTACGTATGTATGTATGTATGTATTTACGTATGTATGTATGTATGTATTTACGTATGTATGTATTTACGTATGTATGTATGTATGTATGTATATGTTTATGTATGTATGTATGTATTTATGTATGTATGTATGTATGTATTTACATATGTATGTATGTATTTACATATGTATGTATGTATTTTATATACACACATGTATGTATTTACATATGTATGTATGTATTTACATGTGTGTATGTATGTATGTATATACATATATGTGTTTACATATGTATGTATTTACATATGTATGTATTTACATATGTATGTATTTACATATGTATGTATTTACATATGTATGTATTTACATATGTATGTATGTATTTACATATGTATGTATGTATTTACATATGTATGTATGTATTTACATATGTATGTATGTATGTATTTACATATGTATGTATGTATGTATTTACATATGTATGTATGTATGTATTTACATATGTATGTATGTATGTATTTACATATGTATGTATGTATGTATTTACATATGTATGTATGTATGTATTTACATATGTATGTATGTATGTATTTACATATGTATGTATGTATGTATTTACATATGTATGTATGTATTTACATATGTATGTATGTATTTACATATGTATGTATGTATGTATGTATTTACATATGTATGTATGTATGTATGTATGTATTTATGTTCATGTATGTATTTATGTATTTATGTATGTATGTATGTATTTATGTATGTATGTATGTATTTACATATGTATGTATGTATTTACATATGTATGTATGTA